CCAGTGCAGACCCGTATAGATCCATGGGAGAGACCAGTGCAGACCCGTATAGATCCATGGGAGAGACCAGTGCAGACCCGTATAGATCCATGGGAGAGACCAGTGCAGACCCGTATAGATCCATGGGCGAGACCAGTGCAGACCCGTATAGATCCATGGGAGAGACCAGTGCAGACCCGTATAGATCCATGGGAGAGACCAGCGCAGAGACTCAGCGCGGACCCCGCAACCTCCTGCAGCAGCAGTATATATGCCATTGTTTTGTGGCCCGTGGATAAAGAAATGCCCCCTATAAATTGGATGGGGTCACTAATACACGGCAAGATTTGCAATGTATTTGTTAAAACGTTGGCACATTTCATTTCAAAATGATAAAAAAAAAATAGGCTAAATTACCATTAACAATTAGATAAATACATACATAAATATGACGGATATAAGTAAGTAAGTTTTTATTTATATACCGCCTTTTCACTGCAGATCTGAGTCTCAAAGCGGTTTACAATTGTTAACTAGAAACTTGCAATGGCTGAAGCCATTGCGATTGACTGCGGAACAGATCTAATGTGGAATTTAGCTGAAAAATCCTTGAAATCCTTGAAACTGTTAAAATACTTTAAACATCTTTGAAACTCCTGAAGTATTTGAAGCTCCTGATATCCTTTAAACTGTTATCCTTTATACTGGTTTACATGTAAAAACCCCTATTAAGTTGCATTATACTGGTTTACATGGAAAAATCCCCATTAAGTTGCATTATACTGGTTTACATGTAAAAAACCCTATTAAGTTGCATTATACTGGTTTACATGGAAAAATCCCTATTAAGTTGCATTATACTGGTTTACATGTAAAAATCCCTATTAAGTTGCATTATACTGGTTTACATGTAAAAAACCCTATTAAGTTCCATTATACTGGTTTACATGTAAAAAAAAAACCCTATTAAGTTGCATTATACTGGTTTACATGTAAAAACCCATATTAAGTTGCATTATACTGGTTTACATGGAAAAATCCCCATTAAGTTGCATTATACTGGTTTACATGAAAAAAACCCTATTAAGTGGCATTATACTGGTTTACATGAAAAAAACCCTATTAAGTTGCATTATACTGGTTTACATGGAAAAATCCCTATTAAGTTGCATTATACTGGTTTACATGGAAAAATCCCTATTAAGTTGCATTATACTGGTTTACATGGAAAAAACCCTATTAAGTTGCATTATACTGGTTTACATGTAAAAACCCCTATTAAGTTGCATTATACTGGTTTACATGGAAAAATCCCCATTAAGTTGCATTATACTGGTTTACATGTAAAAACCCCTATTAAGTTGCATTATACTGGTTTACATGGAAAAATCCCTATTAGGTTGCATGATTACACTGAAGTCCTTGAAACTGGTGAAGTCCTTGAAACTGTTGAAGTCCTTGAAACTCTTGAAACCTTGAAACTGCTGAAGTCCTTGAAACTGTTGAATCATTGAAACTGTTGAATCATTGAAACTGTTGAATCATTGAAACTGTTGAATTATTGAAACTGTAGAAATGTCTGAAAGAGCTGAAGTCCTATTAAAATGCATGGGCCTATTAAAATGCATTGCAGAATTCTCAATGCAAATTAATGGCAGAATTCCCAAGTCCCGTAGAAAAAAACTGGAAAACTGCAGAACTCTATTTTTTTCTGAAAACTCACAAGTTGTGGAAGCTGAACATGCACAAACTGCAGAAAATGCTGAAAATGTTGAAGAAAATTCTGAAAACTATGAATTTGTGGAAGCCCCATTGTAAGTCAATGGGAAAAATCGACCGATTTTTGTCCGATTGCGGAAAAACCGGAAATCGCTGAAGTCCCAAAAGTAATAGCAATAATCTCCCAAACATGTGGAACGTTTTGATGTATAACTTGTGGAAATTGTTGAAAATGTGAAAGCTGTGAAACGTGTCAAAAATCAGGAAAAAGACGGAATAAAGAAAACCAAAACCAATGGTTGACTGCGGAAGGTTCCGCAGTCAATCAATTATGGGCATTTGTCTCTCACTCCACACAGAGATGGGAGCGGGGTCGCCAGTACAGGAGGCACATGCCAGAACTATTGGACATATTTTTAGTGGTAGCGGAAACCGGAGTACCCGGAGGAAACCTACGCAGACACGGGGAGAACATGCAAACTCCACTCAGAAAGGCCCTGGTCCGACCGGGATTCGAACCCAGGACCTTCTTGCTGAGAGGCGAGAGTGCTATCCGCTCAGCCACCGTGCCGCCCGTTATCCATCACTGTAATGTTGTGTTTTATTGAACTTCATAACACCAGAGTGCGAACATGTCGGCACTGAATGTGCGTACGAGTGCTCCTGAGCATTCGTAGGATTTGTACTTACCAAAGAGAAATTCTGGTTACGAGAACATTTCATGAATAAAATGAGTAAAATCTTCGTAAGTAGGATTTACGCACAAATTTGTTCTTAAGTACCGTTCGTGAATGAGGCCCAATGTTTGGATAAATGGTAATATTGTGTATTGTATCTGGAATGAATTTTAGATCTGTAAGTCCATCTCGAGCACATCCTTCTCTAATTGTGGGCCTCCCCGAGGAGGAGGGATGATTTTCTTTTGAGTTATTCCAAGCTGTTGTCTCAGAACAGTAATGATCCAGGACATTCATTACCATTTCTGGACAGTGGTCATCACGCTGTGATTTTCTGATGTTTTGTTGGCAATTTGACACCTCTGTAAAGTCCTTTGAGACGACTGCTGTTGTGATTTAGTGCTATACATTGATAAATTGAATTGAACTAAAAATAAAATGTTGTACCCTTATTTGTCCATGATCATACAACAATGATCATGCTCCAGCTCAAGTCTCATACTGGATCAGAGCTGGGGGAGGGACAGAGGCCCCTGGCTCTGTCCTGGGCCCCTGCAGAGGAGACAGGCCCGGACAAAGTGAGAGGCCCTCCTGCTGGGGAACCCTGCTGACTCTGACAAACAACACATCAGCTCTGGGGAAATGATGTGTACAAGCCTACGCTCTTCACTGACCCAGTCCATCTGAATCACGTATGTACAAACATATGTCACCCTGGGAAACAATATATAAAATATATGTAGTTATAGATAGTTATATAGATTATTAATATTGTTATCCTTTTTAGAATTATCAATCAGTTATATATCAGCACAAGTGGTTGGGGTTGGGATTAGAGCCCTGCACTTGAGCCCTTGGCCCGAGGGCCCCGACGGCCCGACAGCCCGAGGGCCGGGCTTCGGGCCGATGACCGCATAATGACCTCGGACACGGGCCGGGCTCGGGCTCTTCATTTTCAGAGCGGCAGAATACATTTACGAACGCACCCACTGAATATAGCGTTCTATCACGCTGTAGTGTTTGTTGTTCTGTGTAGTGTTGTCATTGACGGCACATAGCGTTACTTACAGGTGTGTTGCAGCATCTGGGCATCATACTGTACAGATACGCCCGTTCACTCTGCACCACTCCGCACACACAGAACTCATTGCAACACATCACTACCATGTATAACTCCGCCCTCTAGCTAAGTCTGCGTTCATATCAGTGTGCGGCACTATATACTACGCTAAAACATTGTTATGGGAGGTTACAAAAAAAAAAAAAAAAGGCGGGCTTGATGCGGGTTTCGGGCCTGAAAATTCAAAAACCATATCGGGCCGGGCCGGGCTGGGGCGCCACCCCCTCGGGCCAGGGCCGGGCTCGGGCCCAGATAATTGGCCCGTGCAGGGCTCTAGTTGGGTTCATTTGAACTCACTTGCCTTAAATACTCAATTGAATTCTCCTTATTTAACAGTTAGTCCATACACTTTACTATTAAAAATGATTTGTAAAAGGGAACTCCCAGGAAAGCTGTCATAGCTTATAAGCAGGGGGCCAAATCGATACTACTGAGCATAAAACAAAAGCTGGATCTGGATGTCTGTAATTAAAGCTGGGGACCTAACATACTTCTATGTAACCTATGCTCAACAGTTTGGTTCGATCACTAGTTTTCACATACATGTATTTTTGGCCTCTGTTTCAGACAGAAAAGTGAAAAAGAGAGGACCACCCTCACTCAGCTCAAAGAGTCAAATAAGATAAGATGTTTTCTAATAAGATGGATACATGCTGTAAATTGTGGTGTGATGTTTATTTTACCAGACTTTCTGTTAAAACTAGAACAATAGTCCAAACATGCAGTACATATGGCCCATGGTGGTGGTGGGGTTAAGGTACGGGCAGGCATCTGTTATGGTCGAAGAACACAAAACATGCAGTAAATGACAAGTGACTTAGGTATAACGCTTAGAAAGCCTCCCACAAGTTGAAAGGGCCTCACACGCGAAGCATTAATATATTGACACGAGAACTCCCAGAGCAGTCAAATTGAAGGCTTTTAGTTTTGAAACAGTTATCACCGTAAATAAATTGTTGGTCTTCCTAACTTGTTATATATCTATATGTAGTTTTAGAATTAATTTTACAATTAAAAAAAAAAAAAATGTGAATAGTTTTTTAATTAGTAATATTGTAATAGTAACTTTGACTACCAAAATATTGACTGCTTCTTCCATTTGAAAATAGCCATTTTTGATCACTTGGCAAACAACATTCTATGACAGTTTGATAATCCTGGACTGGTTCTAGTTGAGTTGAGCTTGGTTTTCCACAAGAGCAAGTGCTAGTTACCATAGCAACACACTGTTATTGCTGTATTTAAAGTTATAGTAACCAGTTTTATCACTAGAAATTACATTAAATAAAACAAGTGGAAAAGATTTTTTTTCAGAATTCTTTTGACATCTACCATCAAAATGACTGCAAAAGGAGTTCTAGTAGTTTCCGAATTGTGGGTGTCCCAGCGTTAATGTAAACTGTAGATTACAGCAAAAATAAAAACACCAATCCAAATGTTAATAATCTCAACATTTATTACAAAACTCAAAAGGAAAGACAACATGTGAGCAATGATCTCAGCCGCTAGGAAGTCTCCATCTTGTATCCGTGCTTCTCCAGCTCGGCTCTGTGCGGAGGAGAGCAGTGATTACAGGTTGATTATGGCAGGATGTATATGGGTGCTATGGCTCTGATTACATACAGTACACTGCCCTTTGGCTCTAATGATATCTGGCAATTGCACGGCCCCCAAGTAATTGTCCAAATAAAACAATAGCAGGCTGCGGTGTGGGAGCGAGAGGCCACTTCAGAGCGAGCAGGGCTCATTACAGGTGCTGTGCGCAGAGCTGGGGCTGAAATGTAGTGGCGTGACAGATGCCATGATAATCACTTCATCCAAGTATTGTTTAATAAATGATAAAACGCAGAGCTTGTTTAGGGAAATCAAAAATGTGGTCTGGAAATGTGGTCATGGGCATGTGGAATTGTTGCACTTCATGTTACATTTACTGTATGAAAAGGGGTTTATAAATTCAATTTGATTGATTCATTCCAATGATCCAAAACACCGTCCAAGAAGAGGTTTAATCGTTTCGTATTTGATTCAATTAGGGATGTAAATCGGCGACCGTTTAACCGGTGGTTGACCGTCACAGCGTTAACCGGTCAAAGCTGTCGGTTAAAAAAGAGAAAAGGGGGAGAGGGGAGGTCTCTTAATAACGCTATTTTAAGCCCTATTTGCACGGTGTGACGAGCGGGTCTGTATCTAGCTGTGTGCGTCCATGTATTATAAACTCCGGGACGACTCTCACGCCGCACGAGCCACATATGCACACACGCACGCGCGCACACACACACACACACACTTTCCCCCTCTCCATACGTAACATCCACACGCATCATCTCTCCCCTCTGTTACCGTCAAAGTTGCACACTGGCGCGGGTCAGAACTACATTGGAGCTTACATTTACACACACACACATATACATACACACACATACACACACACACATACTGGTCTGTCGCACTCCTCTGTGTCACGGAGCCCAAAGGATTCGCTCCCAAAGGAGCCGCGTATTTCCCCTACATGTTTTGCTGTAGGGGAAACATGTTTGTGTTTATGGTCCTCGGGATCAGCTCCACACACATCACTTGTATTTAAACTTTTGTGAAGACCTGTGAGACGCGGCTCGTCACTCGCTGCTCTGACCATGTGAACGAGCCGTCGTTTGCTGCTAGAAAGTTTTGGTGTTAACCCGCAGCACAGCAGAATGGGAAGATTAAAAAAGCAGTTCTCTGTGCGCAAAGGTGCCGGAGCTGTTGCGGGTTTGGGCGCCGCTGTCTCAACTCTGATCCAGTAGAACGCAGAGCTGCACTTATGAAAAGTACGCGGCTCGTAATGGCTCTTATTTCAAAGAACGTGGACTATTTTAAACTACGCGGTTAACCAGTTTCAACCGGTTAATGAGGCTCGGTGGTCGGTCATGAAAATTCATAGTTTTTTACATCCCTAGATTCAATTATCAAAATTACTCAACAAAATGCAGAAGCATGGCTCTGACACTGAGCACACGTGTGAAACTGACCGGAGCTGGTTGGAGAAGTCGTCCTCTACGTTGTCGTCATCCCAGTTGTCCTCCCACACGTGAGCGTCCTCGTCTTCATCCAGCCCGGTCCAGTCTGTGCAAGATACAAGATTGCCTATTAGTGATAAGGTGTCTGAGGGAAGGACATTTCAACCATCAACAAATGTTCAAGAGAAGAAGACTTTTGATGATTCAATGTTTTTATTTATTGTCTTTCGTTTGGAACAGTGCATGTTAATGAACCTCTCCTCTCTAATTTTTTAGCCATGGTCTAATTTGCATCTGTCGTCCCACATTTGCACCTCACTCACCTTGAAATATTGTACATGTTTTATGTGGTAGGGGAAACCGGACCGGAAAAATATAGCAGAAGAAAACTGCCCTATCACGTCAAACGCAATAACAAACGCATCTAGTTTGATGACAACCTAATGTCTGTGGAGTGCAATGCAATAAATATGTGTACTCTGTTATATTCGCCACAGTAAATGTTGACATTTACTTAATGTAACTCAATATGGTTTAAAAAACTAGATACATTTATTGTTAGGTTGGGTGGTGTTCAGCTTCTAGATATACAAGATGATTTGTAATTAATTATCAGTATTATTAATTGGTTTGTTTTGTAAATATAATGGTGATTCTGGTAATATTACTAGTAGAATAATAAATGTGGGCCTATGATGAGTTAAAGAACGTTTTTAAGACTAGCGCGAGCTGGCATGTACAGCTCGTGCTAAAGCTAATAGCTAAGCAGAGCGGCCAAACCGGTCACAAGAATTAGCATGAGTGAGCATTAGCCTAGCCTTCAAGTGTTTACATCTGTCTTCCCCTGGTAAGGGACCACAAAAGCTGGCTTCAGAGCTACCAACCCTCTGCAGGGAACTCCTCGAACTCGTCGTCCTCCTCCAGAAGACCGAGGTCCACGGGCTGCTTCTTGTCCGACATGATGGTTTGTTGTGGTGCGGTAGAGCGGTGTGGCTGGATGGCTTAAGGATGCGCTGTTGTTGGTGAATAGCTCCGGTGCGTAGAATGTTAAATGCAGCGCAGAGAAAAGCAGGCTGCGTCAATGGCGTAAGCAGTGACGAAGTCAGTGTTGCGTAGATTAAAGTAGATAATAATAATGATAATAATAATATTATAAATGATTTTAATTAAAATGGATTAATGTTACTAAATAAGTATGTTCTGAAAAATCTTTTGATCATGTCATCTTAGACAGATTTTTTTTTTTTAAAAACAAACTTTATTCAGCTATATTGAAAAAAGACAATCTCTCAGTCAAATTAAGGTATACCTCTACATTGTTGACTCGGGTCTAAATCTAGCAGAATATAGTAAAGTACTTTATCATTCATGTCTTTTTTATTGGTATTTTGATATTGATATATTTTTTGTTACATTAAAAATAGGAAAGGACATTTTCAGAATAATATTGCATACCACTATATACACAAAGAAAAAGAGGAAGAACTGCTAAATTATGCAGTAAGTCAAAAGAGTACTGCTTTCATCTGCACAGATCAGTCAACATTCTTGTAGTGATAGATGTGTGCCACAAGGTTCGTCACTGGGTCCACTTCTTTTCTCCATTTTTATTAATGACCTTCCCCTTGCCTGTACAGACTGTAGCATTCAACTTTATGCAGATGATACAGTGATTTACACATCCAATGATAACATCATCAATATTCAACAATCTATCCAACATGACTTTAATTCTGTTCAACACTGGCTAAAATCTAACAAATTATTACTGAACAAATCAAAAACAGTTGTCATGTTGTTCCAGAAAAAAATGCATCCTATTTTCTCTAACAAAATTCAGCTTACTTTTTCAGACATGTGTCCAGTTCCAGTCGTTGATAAATTTAAATATCTTGGTTTCTGGCTTGATCCTTCTCTCTCATTTAACATTCATATACAAACAATCACAAACAAAATTTCATATAGACTAAAAGTACTTTACCATTCATTGAACTGTTTTAGTTTATCTGTTAGGAAGAGGATCATTTGTCAACTGATTTTACCTATTCTTGATTACAGTGATATAATTTATCAAAATACTACTGCCTCTGTCCTCCAGCCCCTGAACGTCACCTACCACAGCCTGTGCAGGTTCATCCTCCGTTGTCCCTTTAGAACGCACCACTGCCTTCTGTACGAGCAGCTTTCCTGGCTCTCTCTGTCCTCCAGACGTCAGCTACATTGGCTATTATTTATTTTTAAATGCATTAATCTTAGTTTTCCTGACTATTTAAAACAATATTTGATTCCTTTTCAATCCTCCTACAGTTTGCGTCATGCAAATCAGTCCTTTTTTTCAGTCCCAAGATTGAATAAAGAAGTCGGGAAACATGCATTTAAATTTAAAGCACCGTCTGATTGGAACAGTTTGCCCTCATCTGTTCGCTCTCTCAGTTCTCTGGCTCAGTTTAAGAATGCTCTTGTGCGAAATCTCCAAAATCAGTGTCATTGTTTTTGATTTTGGGTTACATAATCCTATGTTTACTGCCTTTAATATTAATAAGTTTAGTATTTTCACTATTTATTGTCTGCATCAAATATATTTACAACAGTCATGGTGTGTGTGTGTGTGTGTGTGTGTGTGTGAGTGTGTGTGTGTGTGAGTTTGTTTTGTGTGAGTATTGTTTATTGTTGCTTTTTGTCCTTTGTCTTTATTGTTTACTTTATTGTATTGCATTGTATCTGTCACCTCTGTTACCTTTTTGAGGATCCCCTCGAAAACGAGATGTTTCATCTCTAGGGGCTTATCCTCCAAATAAATAAATAAATAAATAAATAAATAGATAGCCCATTCGTGTACAGTATAAGAACATGTAGATAATTGAAAACTGCAGCTGTCTTCACATCCTTGTCAGCAGGCGGTCCCCTGCTGTCCTGTCTGTTGCCACTGTTGCCACTGTCACACGCACGCACGCACGCACACACACACACACACACACGCACACACACACACTTTACTCTGCAACAGGCCTGAACAATGCCAATATACTGTATAACAACAATACGATGAAAAACTATGACTGCAATAACATTTATGGTTGGCCATTTATGTTATGGATCTTTTTCAAACTCCCCCTTTGAGGTCAGATTGACATAGTGTACCTTCTTATTTGGAAAATTCTCATGGTTAAAATTACTCAAGTCAATACAGCGCCACCATGGGGTGAAGTACAGGTCAGATCCAGTTTACACTTCATGATAAAAAGTTTTCAGGACATCAAAACAAAAATGATGTTGGTGGTCCAGGTTTTTAGAGGTTTTGACGTATGCAGGGATCAAGAGTTCCGAGCTTCCGGCTCGACCGCATAGCATTGTGGGTAGTATTCCCAAAAAAGTGGGCATGAACTCACGCTCTCCTATTAGATTACCTGTTGCGAGCCTGATTGGTCTCTCGTTTTTCCAGCCCATTGATTGTTTTAATCGCTACAAAAATCACCAATTTCAGACATTTAGAAGGTAAGGTAAAGATTTTTTCATGTAACAAAAAAGCAATGCATTTTTTTTCTTGAGGTTTTAGATGTAAACACAACCGACTGACGATAGAGCCACACGCAGCTTATGCTACTTAAAAGGATCAAATGCTTACACGCAAGCTTTATAAACTTGCCCAAAGCTGTACTTTGGACATATTTGTCTGGTGTGGAGCTACTGAAAGTAGAGAATACCTGGGGCACATAATCAGGAGTGACCTCAGTGAAGACTATGACATTCAAAGGCAGTACTGTAAGCTGTGTGGACAGGCTAACACTTAAGCACGGAGATTTCACATGTGTACAGATAAAGTGAAAATAACTTTGTTTAAAGCCTACTGCACACCTCTCTATACTGCCAGCTCACTGTTTGTTCTTAAAAATGTCCTGATCACAAAATGCTCTGATCACAAATGTTATTTATAAGTTCATGAAACGCTCTGAGGGCTCTATGTCCAAAGTACAGCTTTGGGTAAGTTTATAGAGCTCGCGTGTAAGCATTCAATCCTTGTAAGTAGCATAAACTGCGTGTTGCTCTATAGTCAGTCGGTTGTGTTTACATCTAAAACCTCAAGAAAAAAAATGCATTGCTTTTTTGTTACATGAAAAAATCTTTACCTTACCTTCTAAATGTCTGAAATTGGTGATTTTTGTAGCGATTAAAACAATCAATGGGCTGGAAAAACGAGAGACCAATCACGCTCGCAACAGGTAATCTAATAGGAGGGCGTGAGTTCATGCCCGCTTTTTTGGGAATACTACCCACAATGCCGTGCGGTCGAGCCGGAAGCTCGGAACTCTTGATCCCTGTATACGTCAAAACCTCTAAAAACCTGGACCACCAACATCTCATTGTTATTTTTTTTTTTTGATGTCCTGAAAACTTTTTATCATGAAGTGTAAACTGGATCTGACCTGTACTTCACCCCATGGTGGCGCTGTTGGTACCTTCCACATGGTATGTGAGAGCCAAGATGATCTGATTAAGTGATTAACAGTCCAGGATCAATGTCAAAGTTGTTTGCCCAGGATCAATATTTCATTGAGTCAGGGTTAGAGTTGGGTAAGTTTAGGTGTAGGGCTCACTAGAATTAGGTTTAGGGTTAAGGTTGGGGTTATGAGTCCAGGATAAAACTTTAAATTACTGCTGTTTGGACTGCACTATGGATTTGTTTTATTTTGTATTTTATTGTGCAGCACTTAGGAAACTGTGTTTATGAAATGTGCTATATAAATAAAGTGGATTGGATTGGATTGGTTTGCGCAAGCTAAACATGTGGGAGATATCTTCTGCTGTCATCATGGTGGATTCATGAACAAACTAGAAAGCTTTCGGCTGTGTAGTAGTGTGTCATCAACAATTTGCCATCCCTTCCCGGTTTTTGATTGGTCCTCAAAACCTTGTGAAGATTTTGGCCAGAGATGCCATGCGTTCAGACCACCGACGGTTGAACGCAGCTTCCACGGCGCACTGGACGCACATTGTCTAAATTTCAGATGCTAGGGGCACTCAGACCAGAAGTCCTGACTTGCGGTGGGAAAAAGAAATGCAGGGCGGAAATGGCGGGCAGGCTTTGATGCCAACGGAGTTAAGCTACCGACTTTTTGTGAAAAGTTCTTCTCCAAGAATGCAGCGTATCTGTGTCCAGAGACCTTCATAAAACAGCAGTATATGTTCACGGAGGAGCGCCATAAGTTTATTTTATTATTAAACAGTACTTCTACATTTACCAAAACGTTAGCAGCACTTGTTTACAGTCACAGGAGCATGAGAATTTAGGCTGGAGGCATATGTTCACAAGCACTGTGTTCCCTATTGTCAATCCTGGTTTAGCTCCTGGTTTAGCTCCTGTTTTGGCTGTTTACGAGTATCTTCAGTCTGCTTGCTAGACCAGGGGTTCCCAAAGTTTTTAGCCCGTGCCCTCCATGATAAATGCGCTGCTCCCCCATGACCCCCCACCTCAACAGCCCTTACCGTCACATGAAATGAGCACTTATTTCCTTGATTCCGAGTAATGCATTATAGAGTTGATATTTTTGTGCTTTATAGCCACTACCGAGTTGCACTCACCAGCCTAAAATAAGAGCCTTGCGTATTTTTACTCGCAAGTGATGGGCTTGGTGGGCTCCCCCCTTAGCAGAGGCGGAGGGCATTTCTTGCGGCTCGCCCTCACTGTTCTCCGACCACGGTAAAGAGACCCAGCTTTTCGGAGTAAGCTGTAAAGAGGTCCGCACATTCGAAGCGGGTGGCCGCTTTATGCTGTTACTTATGGTAAAAAGTGCATTGTGGCGGCTCATCCCCGTGGCTTCTCGTTCCAATGCTATCGTAAGTAGCAGCATAAAGCGGCCTGATGTTGTTTGACCAAAAGCTGTGAAGTCGTATAGTTCAGATAAGGCTGTGCACTCCAACACTTTGTGACAGGATTATGAACTATGAGCTTGAAGTCGTGA